GACCTGCATCAAGCAAAATTAACTAAAATAGATTTAGCTTGGTAATTTTTTACTTTGTCTGAATCTAGTTTCTTGAAAAAAGTGCGTTTTTGACTAAAAAGTGAGTTAAAAACAATCGAAAAAAGCAAATACAAACTCATTTTCAGCATAATTCAGCGATTTTTCGAGTAGTTTGCTGAAATTTGTTTCAGAAAAGTGATTTCTACACAAACAGATTGTTTAAATTTACGAAAAAAACAAGAATAACACTATTTTTTAACCTAATTTAGTGATTTCTTTGTTTGTTTAAATAAAACTTTGCAAAAAATGAGCATTTATCTAGAAAAAGAACAAAAATAATTTTAATACCATACTGGAATTACTGAAAATTTAGCATTTATTAGTGTTTAGTTTGTTTTTTATAATAACCTGTGCAACTAAATAAACACAACGGTTTTTGTTTTTTTTTTGTGTGACTGACATATTTGCTTTTGCTTGTTGTTATTGTTTTATTCTTTTTTTTTGTAAGTTGTTTTTTTATTTTTGTTTTAGTAGAGTGCAATTTTTGTATACTTTATTTCATTTTTTTTTGTTTATTTATTTAGTATTTTTGTCAAGAGAATTAAGTTCAAATAGCGTTTTTTAGACTTCGCCTCCCGACTTGTATTTACTACAAATTTAATGAAGATGGTTTTTTATTATTATTATTATTAGTTAGAAAAAGAAATGACTCTTAGAAATTTGAAACATTTTTTCCGGACACTATACTCGTAAATAGCGTAACTTGGAATTTTTTGTTTTGGGCTGTGATTGGTAAATATTTCGTTATCATGGAAAATGCAGAAAATAAATTTTATTTTTGTTTTTAATTTTTATGAAAAAAGTTCAGTTTTTTTCTAAGTTTGATAAGAAACCTATTTTATTTATGAATAATTAGTACTTTACATTTATTGATTAGTCGTGAACTTTCGTTGATTATAATTTATAATATTCAAATTATTTTCGAAGTTCTAGGACATACTCGTATTTACATATGTAGTTATGAACACTAACCACATTTATTATGTTGATATGTATTTGCAAATATTTCATTAATTTTTATACATACCAGGTGAATAAAAAGTATGGAACCAAACGTTTTTTGCTTAAAATATTACTTTTTGGAAAAACTAATTGATGAACGATAAAGTACTTTAAAGATGTGATGTTTTATCAAGAATATAATTTTTCGAAATTTTCTTTTGTTTTTGAGTTCTACAACAAAAAATATTTTTTTAAATAGCAACCCACTATAAAACTATTTTTCTCATAAAAGTTATAATCTAAGGATTACAACTAACTACTTTATATTTAATTTTTTCAAAAAAATTTTTTTACATAGATTGCAATTTTGACAAAAAAAATCGCATAACTCAAAAACAAGACAAAATTTCGTTCTCAAAATACGATCTCATTTTTATATTACGTTACTTTACATTAATTATTATTTTCTGAAGACAAATGATTTGAAAAAAAAACGCTTGGTTCCATACTTTATATTCACCCTGTAGATGAATATGAATTTCATATTTGACTTAATGTACGATTTTTTGGGTATTTAAAGAAAAATATTAAAATAAAAATTTATATTTATAAGAAAATAAATTCTTATTTATTGAATTGTATTCATGTCGATATAAAAATTTATCACAATTAAAAAAATATTATAAATAATATTTTTCATTTTTTTAAGTATTAAATTTTTTGTTCTAAACATTGTCAAGTTTTGGTACCTCAACAACTCAATTCGTAGAATACTCAAACAAAATAAGGTAAAAAATATATTACAACCTTGTTGAACTAGTAGTTTTCATTAATTAATTAATCATTAATATCGTGGGAGTATTAAAATCAATTACTCCATCTTCGCACGATAAAATAGTTTTCTTAATAACCGGATTTCCGGTGATTGAGTTAAAACTTGTATCATTTTACCAATGATTTTTTGGAAATTCAATTGAAATCCAAGCTTTCACTGTTAATTCAATGATAATTAGTAGGAAGTAGTTTATTAACACTGAAAAATAGTCGAATCTTTAGCACTATGCGGTGAAAAACAGAATTATTACTCTTGATAAGTTTTTCAACATGTGAAAGCAACAAATTACTCAATACGTTACTCTTAATCATTTCATTTTTCCAACGCTTTATGAAAAAAGCATTTTTATCGTCCTTGTTACATTTTAGTAATTTCCTGCACTTTCTAAACACCTGCCGGGGTTACAATTTTCAGTTTTGAGAATCACACTTTTTTAAATTCCTACCTAAGCAAGCGGTTCTCTGAGGAGTGCTGTTATAACCCCAGTTGAAACGCGTGAACTCTATTGGCCAATACATATCAGGAATGTCGGAAAAATCATTTCCATATCCGCCGGCTTCAAGAACAAGAACGCTCCAATCCTCGACTTCACTCAGACGATTAGCTACCACTGAACCAGCTGCACCAGCTCCAATGACCACAAAGTCAAAACTCCCATAATCTACCCAATAAATCAATTTACCACTTTTGAATTTACAAAAAAAAACAACTTACTTCTTCTGACTTCACCGGAAAAATACTGGTACGAATCCGTAGGCAACACATTGGTTAAAGCGTTACGAAACGCATTTGTTATCAACTGCACATAATAATCAATTTTGTCTTGATAGTAATATGCTTGCGAATTTGCGAAAACTGTTAGCAACACCACCAGGAGCAATTTTCCATTCATTCTTAAACGAACTAACACAAACTAAAAGCCTATTGAAAGCAAGCGAACTATTTATAATACCCACCCTAATTATTATTAAGATTAATTGCAATGGTAGCGCTTTTACTCCGGTACAGAAACCATTCAAGGAGTTGGCGACGAGTTTCCGGAAGTCAAAGCAAAAAAACAAGGGTTGAATATTTTTTTTTGTGTTCATGTTTATATTTTAGATTAAAAATCATTTCATTAGTGGTTTTTACTGTTTTTTTTTTTTAATTTATTATACAAATTGTATAAAATTTCTGAGTACTTAATAATTAATTAATAAATCTAATTTAAATAAATTGGTAAAAAGTTTAATTTCACCTCAAACTGAAATACATAAAGATAACAAGTTATCTTTAACAAATAATTATAAGTTATTATCAGGGTAAATTAAAAAATGCATTCCAGGATAATTTTTACTAATTCAAGGCCAGTTTATTATAATATTATAATTAAAAGACTGAAGAATGCATTTTAATTTTTCAGCAAAATGAAAATTTAATTCAGAATTAAACTAATTTGAATTAAGTTGAAACAATAAACGTAATTTTTTGTTTTTTAGTGTGACTTTGCTTTAATTTCTTTATTAACTTCAATCGTAAGTGAGGTGATTAAAATTTATTAGGTATAATAATTACAATAATAATTAATAAATACTGATATTCTCTTAAAAAGTCAAAATGCAAAAATGTTGTGATATTCAGATTTTAATTATGTAGAAACTGACTTATTTAAATAATCTGTGAGTATTTTCAGTTTCATAAAGTTGGTAAATGTAAGAGAATTTATTCGTTCTAACAAACTTTTAATTGTACAAGTGTTATGTGATTTTAAAGACAACAAACAAAAAGAGAAAAAAATCAGGAAAAATTTCCATTTGTTTGATTTTATTTAGCGTGCTGAAAATTTAAATTTTACAACAACGAGAGTAGTTTTTCAATTTTATGTCACCATTTTTGCAAAAAATTAAGACATATTTTACTAATTCATAGGTTTCTTCCAACATTTTTTTTTCTTGTTTTCTGTTCTTTTTTTTGTAAGTTGTTTATATTTTTCGTTAATAATATCTCAAAATTTTTGACATTTTTCCAGGTATCCTTGTAAATAAGGTAACTTCGAAATTTTTATCGCTATCATGGAAAATAGAGAAATTGAATTTTACTTTGTTTTTTTTCAGTACAAAAGTTTAGTTTGATAAAAAACCTATTTATATATTTTTTTTGTGTTCACGTTTATATTTTAGTATAAAAATCATTTCATTAGTGCTTTTTACTGTTTTTTTTTATTTATTATACAAATTGTATAAAAATTCTGGGTACTTAGTAATTAATTAGTACCTAAATCTAATTTAAAAAATTGATAAAAAGGTTGATTTCTCCTAAACTGTAATACATAAAGATAACAAGTTATCTATAATACATAATTATAAGTTATTATCAGGGTAAATTAAAAAATGGCATTCCAGGATAATTTTTACTAATTCAAGGCCAGTTTATAATAATATTATAATTAAAAGACTGAAGAATGCATTTTAATTTTTCAGCACTACAATAACAGTACCTCAAGTACAGCAAAATGAAAATTTAATTCAGAATTAAACTAATTTGAATTAAGTTGCCATTTATTTTGCATTGATAAACGTCAAATTAATTAAATGAAAATTATTTTTTTTAATGAAAAATTTAACAAACTCTTTTTTAAAAAAATATGTATCAATAATGACATTGACAAAAAAACAAATTGTTTTTGACTCAATAATTTTTGTAACTGTTTCTTCAAAATAAAATTAAATAATATAATCTTCAATTAAATTAAAATGTAATTGCGATTGACACATTCTGTAAACCGGCCCTAAGTTATTAGTTTTGTAATTGGCATTGAAATCGAATCAAAATCATTTATTTAATTTAATTTAACCAGGAAAAAAACCGCAAAATTATTTGAAATATTTT